TTTTGTTTGGCTTGTATAGCACTTGTGTGTCTTTTTAATTTGATCCAAATTTTTAAGATATAGACATTTCACAAACAACCCAGCTTCTTTAGACATGGGAAGATCTGGCATCTTGGAGACAGTCAGCAGGAGTCCAGTAGCTGATTCCTTTCAGACAAGCCACCCAGAGACCCGCTAGCCACTGTATGCCTACCTGGCCAACTGTGACTCATTCGTGCCCTCCTGGGGACCCTGCCAGAGAGAGGAGAGCCACGCAAGTTTGCATGATGCCAGCTGGTATAATCATGGGCACTAAACTTGTTTTTTCTTGACTCTCCCAGGTCATTTCTCAGGCTCTTCTGCCTACCCCTTTGGGGCTGCTCCTGGAAGCCACTGAAAATTTGCCCAGCATACTATCAAGGATTTCCTATGATCTTCATACCATTCCTTTTCTATCAGCCTCTGGAGCATCACTGCCTTCCATTTATTTCCCCCAAGCGGCCCAAAGCCTGAGCGCTGCTATAGATGTCCAGACTCTTGCCTGTGTTAAGAGCATTTTTATGCATCAGTCAGTGAGGAACAGAGGGTAACCACGTGCCCCCCAGTCCTGCACCCAGGCAGGCATCACTAATCAATCAGTCACAGCATGCTTCCCTGAGTTCAGACTCAGCATCAAAATCTTTCTCGACCACACTCCAGGCAACCCTATCAACTGATCAAGTCCAGTCATGGATTTGTCATAAGCTGACTTTCCCTAGGATAAGAGGATTTCTGATATAAACTGCCCAGTCGAGACTAGGGCACATGTATAGTCTTTGGGCTTTATTTGTTTGTTTCAAGACTGATGGTTTCAGAATCTTCTTTCTGGGGGCTCACAATTGCAGAGATATTTTCCCCACCTATGTGTGTGTTACTGTTCTTTTAGATAATCCTAGGTAATAATAGTTTCCATTTATAAAAGCCTATTTTGTGCCAAGGCTTAAGATGTGTAGTACTTCGTTGTCATGGCAACCCTGCAGGTTAGTTACCATTATCCCTAGTTTACAAATACGGCTCTATGTGTTAAGTGTCTTTGACTAAGATAATAAGTGCTGGTAAGAGTGGATGTTCAAACTCAGAGCTATCCAGCTCCAAAGTGCAGGGCATTTCTACTGTTCTACGCTATTTCCTTACTTCTTCCTTTAAGTTCTAAATTAGGGAGAAACATGCCTTCACATTTGACCGAATAAGATCCTTTCCCTCCTGTTGAGACCCCAGGGACTCAAAGCAATCATTTAAGTCTGAGGGATGGTTAACCAAAAGACCCTTAATCTAGAGAAGCCTGGGTATTTGTAACTATCACTTGCTCTGAATGGTACAAGCATCTATTCCTGGAGGCTTGACTTGGGGGCCCTGGGCAGGGAACTCGTCCTCTCACACGTTGTCGGTAGAGATGCCAGGGAGGCCACCCCTCCACTGCTCCTGCAGTGACAAGGGTGCTCTGATGGGAGTTGGCTGTCAAGCACCTACTATACCTCAGGCTCTGTGCCAGGTGCTCTGAGCTCAAGTCCTTCATCCAGTTTGTGGTCTTTGCATCACACCATGTCACAGCGCTCCCAATAAACTCACTCCTCCAGATGACTGTGCAGAGTAGGTGCGCAGAGATGGGAACAAAGGAAGAAGGCGGCAGGGACAAGACAGGAAACCTGGCTTCTAGCCGGACACTTGGAGGGAATTCGAGTCATAAGGCAAAAAGAAGACATCTTTTGGCAGCCGTCCACAGTAACCTGGGATTCCGAACAGAATCCCAGATGTGAGAAAAGTAGAAACGGACAAACAGACTCAGCACTTTTTCATGCGGTCGGTGATTCCTGCCCATCAGCTAAATGCAGGCATTAGTGACATTCTGAGGGAAGTTATTAGAGCCCAAAACAGTCACTTCACACACTAGGAAACCATTAGCATCTTTTCTGTCAAGAGGAAGAAAAAGAGATAAGGACAAATAAGCTCATTACAAGTGAAATCTGATGAAAAGCTGGTGGAAGAGCCTTGGCAATACCTGGTATGTAGAATGACCGTCCATCCCCACTTGCCCAGAACAGTCTCAAGCTAGCTGGTTGTCTCAGCATAATTACAAAACACACTCTCCTTTCCCCTGAAAAGTGTCCTGATTTTGACGATAAAATGACTAGTTACCTTGCTTCCGTAGCAGGTTTCAACTTACTGCCCCTTTGGCCTGCGCACAGTTAACTGGGTTGAATGTATTTCCAGCATTGCAATAAAAGTTAGTCTGCACAGAAATCCCTTTCATTAGAAAGAAGCCGAGGGGACTTCTCTGATGGTCCAGTGGTTAAGACTACACGCGTCCATTGCAGGGGGCACAGGTTTGAACCCTGGTCGGAGAACTAAGACCCCACACACCGTGTGGTGCAACCGAAATAAATGTATATTTAAAAAAACAAAACATAAAGGAGAATAACAAAGGTCTGACATTAAACATTACACACACACACAAAGAAGCCTATACCGCTGAGGAAATTTTCACTCTCCCCCTCACTCTGCTGCACCCCCACACACCCAGATTCTGGTATCAGTCAAATCTTAGATCAGTCTTGCAAGCTTTTGTGACTCTCAATTCCACAATCACATGTCTATCAGAGTCAGAAGCAGAAGGTGCAGCTATGGAAGCTTTGAGGGGATTTAGGGGTGATGCCCAGTCTGCACTGGGCAGAAGACTTTGGGAAGTGGGGCTCAAGGGTCTCCCAAGTATGCAATAATTATAAATCAGGCCGTTTGTGTGTGAAATGGGGATCGGCTGGCCACTCTGTGCCCCTTCCCATCTTGCCTACCCTCTAACCTGACCCAAGATGACTCATCCCAGGATCCTTTTTGTATTCATTCTGAATAGAATATTCAGTTTCCTCAAACAGCCAAGACAAACTGCCAGATAAACACTGGCCAAGAAAACTGGGGGTTCTTGGCTGGTTATTGAGGAGTTATGCATAGCTGGAGTCAGGGCTTTGTCATCAGGATGGGGTTTCATCCTGGACACACCCCTTAAGTCTTAGCTCCTATCACATGAAGCTTTGGAGGCCAATCAGAAGGGTTTGGGATGCCCCTGTTTTCCCGCGAATGTGTAAACCATCTCCCTCCCTCACCAGGACTAGGAAAAAGAGCTAACAAAACAACGGGACAAGTGCGCCCCCTAGTGTCAAAAAGTGCATTCATTCATTTGGAAGCTCTAGAGCCCCATTGGAATGTGCACCATTTTCTAGGGATTACTTCATTTAATGTTCACAGCACAGGGGTGCCTTGGGATCAGGAATTTAGGAGAAACAGCCCTCTGTTCTCAAAGAACCCAGTTTTATGGAGGGAGGCTGGCATGTTAAAAAAAAAACAACAGTGTGATAACTGCTGGGATAGTGGGAATATGGGGTATTTTGGGAAAACAAAAAAGGGACACTTCCTGGTGGAATCAGGGAATGTGTCACAAAGGCACTGAGCCTAACTGTTAATTAGTTCCAGTCTTGGCTCACCCATTCCTCTGGAGGTTGAGCTTGGCACAGAATTCACCGGCTTGCACTTTCTTGCTATATGACTGCATTCCTCATTTCTCAAGCCGCTGCAGAAAGCCAACCTAAATGGAATGCTTTTCCCTAAACACATACTGACTGGATGGTTATCTTTTTTTTTTTCGGTTGTGCCTTGCAGCATGTTCATCTCAGTTTCCTGACCAGGGATTGAACCTGCATTGGCAGCATGAAGTCTCTGAACCACTGAATGGGCAGGGAAGTCTGGTTTTCATGTTTAATATTACATTACTTTTTAAAAGGCAGTCCCCACACTGAATTGTAGGAACTTATGAGAATCTTTTAATGTCACTCTGAACTTGGAAAGCAACCGTGGTGGCAGGTGTCAACTTCTGAAAGTACACAGTACTAGACTTGAGCTGTATTTGAGCCAAAACCAAATCTGAACCTGGTAGAACTGTGCCAGACACAAACTCTGAAATGAAATACTCAGCATTGCAGCTAGGGTGCCAACATACAGGTCAGGGCCGGCTCTTTTACCAGTTTGAGATCTGGAGGAGCTGGGCCTGGGTTTATAGAATCCTTTCCAGCTCTTTCCCTGGTGCCTCAGACAGTAAAGAACCTGTCTGCAATACAGGAGACCTGGGTTCGATCCCTGGGTTGGGAAGATCCCCTAGAGGAGGAAATGACTACCCACTCTAATATTCTTGCCTGGAGAATTCCATGGATAGAGCCTGGTGGGCTACAGTCCATGGGATGCAGAGTCTGGACACGGCTGAGCAACTTTCACTTCACTTCCTGCTTTTGCAGAGTCTTGGCCCCGAGGGAGTCCTCCCTTCTCACCTAACGTCACACACCTGTAGGGGGCCTGGGTGGGGTCCAGTACAGACACTACAGACTGTGGCTGCCTATAAAGACTGAGATGACTCCTTTATCTGTGAGCCTTCGCTGGCTGCCTTAGGACCGTTCATTACTCTGACGTTTGAAAAAGGCTATTCAAGTACATTTTCTTGAAAGAAACCTTTTATTTATTATCTTCACTGGTCAAACAGTTTCAAACAAATTCAGAACAGGGGTTCACATTTTGAGCTTTTAGTTAAAAGACGCTATGTCATGCGTGAAACAGATGCTGATCCCAAGGGGGGTGCTCCCCTGACGCGTTTCAATACTGGGCTGATAGGTCAGAAGGTGGCCTACGTGACAGAAGCCTGCTCTAAGGTCTGCTTGAAAAAGGGCATGATTTAAAACCTCATGTGGTTTTTCACAACATAAGTGTCCTGAAACTTAAAATAATTTCAACTTAATTTCAAAACAAACACCCCAAGAATCAACTTCCCCTTTAAATAAAAAAAATAATCAATTTAATACTCTTCTTGAAAGAACTCCGACAATGTAAAATAAGTTCCAATTCCATATATATATATCATATATATATATACATTTATAACTTAGGTTGCTCTGTTTCTCTATATACTTTTTACTCATGCAATGCGGTGGGGGCGGATGTGAGGGCTACAGCGGCCTCTCCGAGAAGGCGGTGTAGCTCCTCACCCTGGCGAACAGCAGCGGCGTGTACATCTTGTCGATTTCAAATGCTGTGACTGCAGTCTCTCCAGTAGATCTGGAAAAAGAGCACATAGTCACTCATCATAAGGAGATTTCAGCTCATTTAAAATTCTTGTCTACATTTAGTGGGGGGGGGGGTTTAATTTTAGGCATTAGCCTTTTTTATTTTTAGTTCATTTCAGTCAATTCTAAATAAAATAGGTGCATTGTGGAAAATTCGAAAAGTATTAGAAAAGTGTAAAGAAAAATCACTCATTCCCACTCACATAGGGCCTCAACTTTGATACTGAACTTCACTGCTGAGGTCCTACTAAGCTGGTCATCTCACTGTTTTATACATCATGACATAAAGCATTGCCTCACATCATTAAATATCCTTCAGAAGCCATTTTTGTGGCTGCATAATATTTCACTGTCTGCTTTTACCACATTTACTTAATTCCCCCTTTGCTGGAGGATTTAGTTTTCAGTGTTAGGCAATTATAAATGATTTTGATATTTTTCATTATGCCCTTTGAAAAGATTCCCAAGGAACAATTTCTAAATCAAAGGCTCTAGACATTTTATGGCTCTTATTAAAACGTATTTTAGAAAGAATTATAATCCCAGAAGAAAATTTAATGATTTCATATTTGCATGATCAACAGCATAATTTTAGGTTGAGGGGGAAGCAGGTGACATATTATTACAGCCTTTTATTTTTCTCCTAAAAAAAAAAAGAAAAGAAATAAACAAAAACAGAAAATTCCAGTGACTTCATAAATATCATTTGCTTGGCTCTACTTCTGGGTTTGGTTTCTTTGGAAACAAAAAAAAAAGAATTCTACTTCACAATTATTCAGAGAAGCAGAAAGAAGACAGGAGGAGCAGTAGATAAGGAAGAGAAGCAAGAAAAAATGGTCTTTCTATCAAGACCTCCCAGATGAGTGGGAAGAGTTACTCGTAAGGTGACGTGACTGAGGAAGCTTTCAGCAACCTGGCTGAGGTTGTTAGAGAGGCTGATGGAAGGCGACCGACCTCCAACCTGCCTCTCAGAACTCTGGACTCAACTGGCATGGAATGACCCTCGGGCACACACCAGTACTCCTTCAAGCCTCACAACAGCTAACATCAGTAACCACATGAACTGAAATTTCACTTTCCTGATTCTCACATTTTACTCATTTCAGTACTGTTCCTTTCTCACACACTCTCATCTGTTCACTCACTGTTTCACACTAGTAAATCCTAACTTACAGCATAAAAAGTTTAAAGTTAGGAACAACTAATGGATTTAAACAGGAACCACTAATTTGGCTTTGAAACACTGGTGATCATCTCAGCAGACTTCCTTTCCTAACTACACCTTACTTTAAAATCTGTGTATAATCCCTGGGGATAAACCAAATGGAAATAAGGTGGAAAAGGATGAGATTGAAACATGGGAGAAGAAAGACGTTCTGGTGTTTCACAACTGCCTTGGAAAGTCAATGACTAAATCACACTCGTGCAGCTTAGTGACCAGGCCCCGCCAGACTCATGGGGGCTGCTGTCAGGGGAAGTGCCCACCTACGTGTCCACGGACCCTTGTGGGGAGCTCCGGACACTCCACCTGGCCCACTTTTAGTTTTCTTCAGGTTGGCTATTTCTTTGGTTTGCAGAAGATTATACTGTGGTTTTCCTTTGTGATTGAACATTAACTCTCAGGAATCAAACCCTACCTGAGTCCTCAGCTGGGCAGGAAGGGCACGGGGAGTCTGTACCCTTGGGGTATTTTTGGCATTCACCTACTTGTAAGTAATGTGACAAGAGTGGTGTATCCAGATGAGTTTGTTGAAGCTCTGGTGGCCACTGGAACACAGCTGTAGCCCCACGTGAAAGTTCTGATCGGCTTCTTGCACAGGGGCACGGCGAAAATACCGGTATTTATGGTCAAGTGCTTTCTGTAAGAGGGGAGGTGCGTGAGCAACAGTGGGGCCTCACTTCACGGACAGAGACACGGATGGAGCCGCATCTATACGGAAACACCTGAGCAACGTGTTAAGTCACATAGTTATCTACACACAGGATAGACAGCTACACTGGTTATCAACTGCCAATGTGTATCAGTTCGGTTCAGTCGCTCAGTCGTGTCTGGCTCTTTGTGACTCCATGGACTGCAGCGTGCCAGGCCTCTCCATCCATCAGCAGCTCCCCAGAGCTTGTGCAAACTCTTGTCCATCGAGTCAATGATACCACCCAAACATCTCATCCTCTGTCGTCCCCTTCTCCCCCTGCCTTCAATCTTTCCTAGCATCAGAGCCTTTACAAATGAGTCAATTCTTGGTATCAGGTAATAAAAGTATTGGAACTTCAGCTTCAGTCCTTCCAATGAATATTCAGGACTGATTTCCTTTAGGATTGACTGGTTGGATCTCCTTGCAGTCCAAGGGACTCTCAGGAGTCCTCTCCAACACCACAGTTCAAAAGCATCAATTCTTTGGTGCTCAGCCTTTTTTATGGTCCAACTCTCACATCCATACATGGCTACTGGAAAAACCACAGCTTTGACTAGATAGACCTATGTGTATGAGTATATGTGTGCCTGGAAATACATGAGAGCCTCTAAAAGCAGAAGGCTTTTCCCTCCATCACATCATCTCAATCGGGATGATGACTTTAGGTATGGCATGTAACTGCATGGTAGCTGTGTGATGGCTGAGGGAATGAGGACCCAGGACGGGCAACCCAGGGTCAGTGTCAGAGATGGGAACTCAAACTCCCGTCTATCTCTAGGCCTAATATTTCCTTCTACTCGAAAACACTGGGGCAGAAAGAGCCCCACAGAGTATGACTTATCTTTTGCAATAACAGAAAACTAGTCTACAGAGAAACAGACGTGACAAGGTTCACTGGAACCACACTTCTGTGAATGTTGCTAAAACATAAGAATGTCGACACTACATACGCTTTCACTATGTCATAGTCTGGAGTGAAAACTGGTCATCAGCACGGGAGTGCCTAAACTCTCTTATTAGGTAACATTTTAACAGTGGGGGCCTCTCAACTCCCCAGCTCTGATCTCAGGAAACTCAAAGCCATGATCACCATGATAGTAAGAATCTCTGCCCTTCAGATTGTAGCCCCTGATTCCAGGAGCCAGAGGGAGCTGGAGAAGCCACAGTGAAGGGCCACAGGACTCACGGATGAAGGACTAACTATTCCCATTGGAAGGACTGATGTTGAAGCTGAAACTCCAATACGTTGGCCACCTGATTCAAAGAGCTGACTCAATGGAAAAAAGACTCTAATGTTGGGAAAGATTGAGGGCAGGAGGAGAAAGGGACTACAGAGGATGAGATGGTTGGATGGCATCACCGACTCAATGGACATGAGTCTGAGCAAACTCCAGGAGACAGTGAAGGACAGGGATGCTTATAGTCCATAGGGTCGCAAAGAGTTGGACTGAGCAACTGAACAACAAATATTCCCATATGTGGTTGCTAGGGGTGGGGAGTGGGACTTAACACAAGAGAAACTTTGTTTAAAAACTATATTAATTATAAGAGAAATATTTATTCCAACTACCTCACAACTTCTTGGGTACACATTGTGGTTTTTAACCAGAGTTTAAAAAATGCACATGGGGAAAAGCTGGAGAAAATCAGTCCCTTAATCTGATAAGAGAGTTTAAAATACTCTGGAATGTCATGATTCTGCCATTGTACTTGCTTGGCATTTTTTTCCTTTTGCAAGAACAGGAAGAAGGAAATTATCTCACTTTAGCTTATTTCCAGTAGAAACTGAAATTCTAAAAATATCTGTGAAAGAATTATCCATATGAGACAATTTAGAAAGAAAATCTCCTATGATTCAAAATGAGAAAAGCCAAAAACACAGTCATATATAATTGTACTAGTTATTTCACAGGAAATCCTGGCTTTACATTTTCATGTGTTAAAAAACCTGGACCAGAAAAGGAAACCCGGAGAACAAATAAGTTGATCCGATAAAAAAATAACCACATTTTAGAAACCTTCCAGCTGTCTTCAGAGATATGCTGTTAAGTCAACACCCATTTTGTGTAACAGTATAAATTATGAAAGGGTACGTTTCATCCTTTCTAATCGAGAATGCTTGAATAATCAAATACAACACTGTAAATCAACTATACGTTAAGAAAAAATTTTTAGTAAAACTCTTGAATGAGAAGGGTACAGAAATTAAAAGAAAACTGTCAATTCCACCTGGCATACTTACCTCTTCTTTTTTCTTAGTTATCACAGCAAATACTTTGGTCTGATTGTCTGTATCTTGTGACAAGCGATAATGACCCAGTAGAATTGCATCAGTTCTAAAAGTAAAAACAAAAAACACTTTAAATCTATTTATCCGTTATGTATATTTAAGTAACTGAGAAAGTAATGGGTTAGAAGTGTTCATTCAATTAGCCTGAAGGCAATCAGGTAATGTGAGTAAACCTAGTTTCCAAGGCCCCAGACTTACTGAAGGATGCATTTAGGGAGAGGCCCAAGGATTGGTATTTGTTGTTGTTGTTGTTGTTGTTGGGGCGGGGCGGGGGTGGGGGAGGGAGCTACACTGTACAGTCTGTGGGATCCTACTTCCCTGACCAGGGATTGAACACGGCCCTCAGCAGTGAAAACACCAAGTCCCAACCACAGGACTGCCAGGTAAGTCCCAGGATCAGTTATTTTTCACAAGCCCAGATGATTACTTCTTTAATCATCCAGTATTAAGTTACATAATCTGCAAGCTACCACCTAAAATGTGAACCGGATAGAAAACTACAGAAAGACACTACCTGGTATTCCTGGTTCTTAAGCGTGGAACAATGGACTGGGGCTCCTCGGGGGTGGTGAGCATCATCACATGGCCATCCGGGAAGAACCTTATGTACCTGCAAGACAAGGCAGACACCAAAACACCACACGTGAAAATGAAATGTGTCCCTATTTACTGGTCCCCAGACCTACTTATGCACTGCTGTGAAACCAAAAGGGAGATACCATGGGCCAAAGAACTGGCAAAACATCACTGACACGAACGTGACCCATGAGGCCAGAAGCAGAGAAACAGAGCATTTTATTACCTTCCTTAGAGGGAGCCACAGAACTTTTAGTGTCACTCACTGAATAGAAATAAATTGGATTAAACATTGCTCTGTTAAAGTTCTGCATGTTTCTCCCTACAGCACTACCTAATGTCACACAAGAGTGAGGCCCAATGCTGTCTACTCCACAGTAGTCAGCACAGCCGACTTGTTCCTCGGTGACATGGATATCTGGTGAGGATGAGCCTGAACAGCAGCCCAAGTGCTCTGATAAGACAGAAGACAAGGAGGAACTCCAAAATACAGAGTAATTTTCGAGCTAGAGGCCAAGGGGAATTCCCTGATCTATCTTCACCTTTTGGCTCTTTGACTGCAGTTCCTGTTATAAACTGGATAAAAACACCGAGGGCCATTTTGTCTATAAATGCAAAAGCCACACAAAACCAATGTCTGATAACTAACGCACTAACACTTGGAGAGAGAAAATTTTCACTGGGTTACTACAGCTGTACCTGTAATATTCCACTTGGTGCCAGGCTCTATAGAAACCATCAAGAGACTGCTCCCCTTGACGAATATAGGTGGTTTTACTGATATACACGCCTACAGAAAGAAACAGATTTTTTGAAAAGAACTTAATAAAAACCTTTTACCATCATGTAACAGGTTTCCAGCTTTATTTTTACTGTGGTTTCCTCTAAATATGCTGATAGTACTCAGGTCTGATATAGAAAATGAAGACATGTATTTATCAAAATCAGCACAACAGATCTCTGTTGCTCTAAAGAGTTCAACTTACCATCAAATCGAACACGGGGCCTTTCCAAAAACATCTCTCTCCAGGATGTGTACGGAACCAGTTTAATACAGCTTCTGCCCCAAACTTTCAAGCAGGCCAAACGCCATATTTCAGGGTCTCTAGGGAATAAATGCACACCATCAATATATTTACCAGGTAAGCCCCCATCTGCACTCAGACAAGAGAAACATTCCTGCCAACAGGCATCTTCTATTCAGCAACATTGGCTGCGCTCCGGCCAGGCACCATGCTGGGCACTGGGACAGACTGATGGACAGGGCAGAGGCTCCGCTTGTTTACAGGGAGAGCAAACGAAAAACAAGAAAATGAGAAAGAAGTTTTGGGCAGTGTGCTCAGTGTGAGAAGAAAGCAAGCTGGGTGAAGGACAAAGACAAGGGGGCTGGGAAACAGACTCTCTCTTCCAGGCAGGCGTCTACAGGGACAAGGCAGGGCATCCTGGCAGACGCCACAGCAGGCGAGGCCCAAGGGCTGGAGTGTGGCCAGCATGCTCAGTAGGGGGCAAGAAAGATGGTGTGGCTGCGGCAAAGTGACCGGGTCAAGAGCAGACTGCACCCGTGGAGAGGTGGTTAGGGACAGATGAGGGGGAGGTTTGACGGAGGCAGTGGCTGTTTGAGCGAAGAGGAGGCCACTAGGCGGTTCTAAGTATAATTGATCCTTTTAAAAGATGACTCTGGTTGGTCCAGGGAGAACGAGCTCGAGTGTAAGAGTGGAAGTCCAGAGACTACACCGGATACCAATGCCATAATCTAGAGCAGGCCTAATGGTGGCTGAGCCAAAATGGTACTTAGAGAAACAGTGAAATGCTCAGACTGGAGATAGATTTTGAAGATGGCACCAACCCTAACTGTAATAAGATTTTGTTACAGGATTACTGCAAAAGGCAAAGCAACTGACTTGATTCTAACACAACACAAAATAATTTTAAATTCATCTGTAACTTGAAATAAGACATAGGAACTATTTACACAGAAGCCAGACTGCAAAAAGAGACATCCCACAAACACACACTGCAATGTATTTTTTTTTTTAATGAATACTTTTGCAACCAAGTTTTATCCTACCCCTGAAGATCTGTTTTAATTCCCTTTTTACAATGTTTTCTCATGCATAATTAAAAGAAAAATTAATGGAGTAACTAGAGAGCTTGACAGGTACTTGTTAAATAGAAATGCACACAGAACTATCAAAAAACAAAGCCTTCAAGCAATTCAAATGTTTTACGCAAAAGACAGGACTTCAACTGAAATTAGGTTACTTTAAAACAATGCATCTGAATTTTAAGAACCAAAATTATAAAAAAATTCTAGGGATTTCTCGGTGATCCAGTGGCTAAGACTCTGAGCTCTCAATGTAGGGGGCCCAGGTTCAATTCCTGGTCAGGGGACTAGATCCCACATGCCACAGCTAAAAGTTCGAGTGCCACAACTAAAGTTCCTGAGTGCCTCAACTAACACCTTGCACGGCCAAATAAATAAAATAAATAAATACCTAAAGAATGTTCTAGATGCTAAGGATAAAATATATATTTTTATATAAGGCACTTAGCCCTCATAAAAGATTACCTGTCTTAAATATTATACTAAACTACAATTATTCTTCACATGCAAGATTTTAAAAGTATAGGATAACTTTTCCCCAGTTTTATTGAAAAATGTTTGACATACATCACTGTAAAAATTTAAGGTATACAGCATGATGGTTTGATTAACATCTATTGTGAAATAAACCACCATAGGTTTAGTGAACATCCATTAACTCATAGAGCAACAATGAGAAGAAAAGGTCTCCTGTGATTACAACTCTTAGGGCCCACTCTCTTAACAACCTTCTATCATAGAGTGACGGTTATCATAGCCATCAGGTTGTACATCACATCCCTAGTAATTACCTTCAAACTGGAAGCCTGTACCTTTTAACCATCTTCCTCTAATCCCTATTCCCTCACCTCTGGTAGCCACAAATCCATTCTGTTTTTCTATGTAGATTACTATACATAAAATCATATAGTATTTGTCTTTCTCTGTCTGACTTAATTTCACTTAACATAAAGCCTTAGAAGTCCATCCATGTGGTCACAAACAATAGGATTTACTCATTTTTAAGGCTCAATAATATTCCACTGTTTATATATGTGGATCTCCTCTATCCATTCATCCATCCGTGGACACTTAGGTTGTTTCCAAGTCTTGGTTACTATAAATAATGTTTCTATGAACAAGAGGTGCAGACGCCTTTTAGAATCAGTGTTTTCATTTCCTTTTTATATATACTCAGAAGTGGAACTGCTGGCTCATATAGTAAATCTATTTTTACTTTTTTGAGGACTTCCATACTGTTTCCCATAGTAGCTATACCAACTTACAATCCCACCAACATCCACATTTATTTCTTGTCTTTTGAACGATGGCCATTCAAACAGGCGTGAACTAATATCTCACTATGGTTGTGACTTGCATTTCCCTAATGACTAATGATGTTGAGCAACTTCTCGTGTACCTGTTGACCATGGAATACCTTTTTTGAAAGAAACATCTAAGGTCTTTTGCCTATTTTTTAATTAGGTTACTTGGGGATTTTTGCAGCTGAGTTGTATGAGTTCTTTATATGCTTTGGATGGCAATCCCCATCAGATATCTGGTTTGAAAATATTTTTTCCCAGTTCACTGGTTGCTTTCTCATGTTTTTCACCACAGTCAGAGTTGCTTAAAAAAAAAAAAAAAAAGTAAATACCTGGCACAGATATAGAATCCTCTGCACACCTGTGACAACTGCTCTAATGATCTGAGGTCCAGGTCACTGGACACCACCCAACGGAAGACGTACATCAGGACCTCCATCGGCAGGGCTGCAAAGGAAACCATCCTCAGTGACTCTCCTTCTCTCCTTCCTATCCGTCACTTGACTCAGTGCAGGTATCTTTATTCCAAAAATTTTATAAACCACTTCTCAGATCGTATGAGAGCTGAGACGTGTACTTAACTACCCAAAAGAAATAATGGCTTCTAACATCAAGACACAAATATCTTTGTCTTTTCAGTATAGAACATATCTGAAGCTACTTTTCCCTCTCCTGTGGAAGGTCATTTCATTGTCAAGATATATAAAAATACTAGAAAAAATAATCTAGCATGTATACATATGTATGATCTGCACTGCATATGCTAACATTAAAAAATTATTTTCATCTCCTTGAAAATTTTCAATTGTCCTCCTTTGAAAAGTTCCCATAGCTAATTAAACAACACTAAACACATGAAAAGAAAGAGAAAACATTAGTTTTTAAACACTCAGCCTGTTTTAGGACGACTGTCCAACTTGGCTAAAGTGCCTGAAGATACCAGCATTTCTCCAGTTTTCTTAGAGCTGCCCCACCAACTAAAGATATTCACCCTCTGAGACCATCACTGTAAAGAAAATGGTATCCTTGACCAACTACACTACAAATTCCACCCTACTTCAGACCTTGAGAAGCTTATTTGTCTACACAAATTAATTATAATTAGACCCCCCACTACACTTGGAACTAAAGCAACTGTATGACAGTTATCTGACTTTATAAGTTTGGAAACTTAAATCTAAGGAAAAGTATTTCTGAGTTACAAGGAGCATGAAGTCACACCTGATATATGAGTCTGACTGCTCTCGAGTTCAGGCTGACACAGTTTGAGCACAGACTCCTGAAACGTGAGCTGCTGCTGGAAGTAGGACAGGAGGTCTGCCATCTTGCTGTCATCATCAGTATCTTCAATGCTGAGAAAAGAAGGGAGGTGAATAAACCCAGTGCCCCAGTCTACACAACACAGCTTAGAAACTGATTTTTCAAAGTACTTTCAAATTTGCTTTAGAAAGTCATCTAAAAGCAAACTTACTACTCTTTTTCAAAAACATGGCAGAATTTACTCTGCCCTGCAAAGGGGTACCATACCAACTTTTTGAAGAAAAGAGCTTCAGCAATTTTAATTCCCACAGAGGAAGAATTAAGAATTTTTGGATATAGGTGTTGAGATTTAGTTAATTAGTTTTATGATAAGGTAGTGATTTCATGAATTAGTAAAAAAGAATTTCAAATGATTTTTTTAAGTCATATGTAAATATAGCCTTTTAAGTGACCATAATCCATTCTAATTGAATAAAAAAATATACAGATATCATCTGAGGTACTTACTTACCAAGAAGGCTTTCTAATATATGTGCCTTATAACCCTTCCTTTAGAGGAAAATATGTAATTTTAAAAAGCAGGGTCCATGAGTAATCTATCAGCATAAACAAATGGGTAGTTAAGAGTTCTAGAAAATATCTAGCTTTCCATTTTTGCTGAGGGTAACATTAAAAATGATCAGACTTACAAAAAAGCTGGATGAGGATGAAGTTAGAAAACCAGGAAGGGCTTATTAAAAGACAACACAATGGACATGTGGCTGAGGCTGGAGGGACTGCAGGGCTCTGCTACCAACTCTTTACAGGAGGCGAAAAAGCAGCAGAGGCTTTTAGGGCCTATTAGTTCTGATAAGAAAATAAACAACTATTGTTTTGAAAGAATTTTCAGAATATCTGGGTCTGTATGACAGGATGGGAGAGAAAGAAATGCTGCTTTAACGTTTTAATACCTTTCTTAACAGCACCTGGCATCTATTTATAAAACTGGCTAAGACCTGGGTCTAAACAACTCTCCCTAAATTTAAAGAAGGTTTAGAAAAACCTCAAACAAGTATTTTTGAGTATGAACTACCTCATGTTGTTAAGTCTAATTTGGTGAACAATTATTATTAGCACCAAAGTTCAAACAGGCAACAAATGCTGACTTCAATGGGATATTTTTAATATGGCTTAGTCAAAGCTTAAGTGTTAATACTATTATCAGTTAAAAAAGGCAGTCAGCATAAGTTATCAATAAAGGTAACTTCTTAACTGTTTCATAACAAGGTAACTGTCTAATACTGACTAATATCTTATTACAAAAATTCTACTTTTCTAGGTTTCTTTTACAAGCAACTTCAAAGTATTGGCTTAAAAATATGTTAATTTATTCCTTTCAGTAATCACTGCTTTTATTACAAGAAAAAAGAAAAAACTTTCATCACCTTATTTTTGTTATATCTGCTTAAAATGTGCATTTCTATATTTTAATCTTAAAATTTCCCTAATTAAAAAATTTCTACAACTTTATAAACAAGTCTTCATACTAAAGCACCTATATCTGGCCCTTGTGCTTTTAAAGAGATGTTAGTCTTAACAATATTCTATCTACAAACCAACTCTGACTAGAGTCTAGCATTTTCCTAATAAAAAACCTTTTAAAGCATGTATGGTTTCAAACAGATACAAAAGGAGAAAAGACTAGTGTAATAAAACCCCATGTACCCAATTTCAACCATTATTAACCTTTTTCAGCTTTGGCCTGATTACATTTTAATCATTTTGACTTTATAGATTTCAGAAAGTTGAAACATGTCCATTAATTTACTCTTTTCAGTAATCACTGCTTTTATTAAAAGAAAAAAAAACTTTAATTACCTTATTTTTGTTATATCTGTTTAAAATGTGCATTTCTATACTTTAATCTTAAAATTTCCCTAATTAAAAAATGTCCACAACTTTATAAACAAGTCTTCATACTAAAGACTGTGAAACTTAACAGAATTAGCACTGTCTTCTTATCATGTTAAGAGTCAACAGGGCAAAGACGCTTAACTTTAACAAATTCTATATATTACTGTCTATCAAATTATATACGCACTAGCTGTTTCCAACGCCATCACCATCTGGAGACCGGGTATAAGTAATCTTGAACTCTATATCAGGTACAAGTTGCATAGCCCTACGATAAAACTTGATGGCTAAAAGAAGAAATAAAGCTAAATTAGCTATGACCACACATTTTCGTCATTTCCTTTGATTACGCTACCTGTGGTTTAATTTGGTAATTTTCTTTACAAACAGCCAAATTTCCCTTTTCTACATGCAACATGAGCAGTGAACAAACTCATTTTCAAACCCTACTAGTTCAGAAATAGTCTTTTTCTGAAGCACTCAGGTTACAGAAACTTAAGATATCGCATTTTACCCTTATCTTTTAGCCCATCTTTTTCCTCAGCCTCTCACATACTGTCAGAAGTGATCTTATATCTAGTAGTCTTTCTCTAGGCTTTGAAAATGCCACTGCTGTAGCCCCAGCAAAAACAACTTTAAGCAAATTTCTTTCTGGTGTGCAGAGCTTAGGAAAATCAAATGCTTCCTCCTGAGTAGAACAAGGTTTTGTGGGTTTTGTTTTTTTTTTTTTTTTGAATTTATCCTTCAACTCCATCTTCCTTTACTCCAGCTGCCTGTTATTTAGTTAAATAAACTATAAAACTTCTTTTTAAATAAATCTCCTGGCCAGGTGGTTTAGAACAAGACCAGTGAGAGATCATAGAACTTGCGGCTGAAGAAGGTGATCAGTTCTTTTCCCTCAAACCAAGCCCATTCAGTTCATCCACTCTGCCATGTTCTGCCACTTGGGGTGAGTTACTGTACACTACATGCAGATAGGACTCTCACAGACTAATAAAGACTGAGGAGGGATGTCATCATTTGGGCCCTTTTCATATGTCAGAGTAAAACATCACTAGAAGAAACTTGCAAATAAATGCAACAATTCTGAAAATGTTATCTGGGGGGCATTTTCCAACAACTCAAGCACTAGCATTTTTTCCATGCCCCAATTAATAGCTTTCTATCATGAAATGAAAGCCTAATTATAAACCTAATCTGGTAAACAGCCTCATCTCTTGGTTTACTTACATTATTTCTACAGACCCAACAAAACAGACAATAAAGGCTGAAGGGTATTCCTTCTTATAAAATGTAAATTAAATTGAGAAAACATGTACATGTTCCTCAACCTGTCCTTTATACTCTCCTCCTCTGAAGAAACACTTACCTATAAAAGGGGCATATCCTATTTTTCAGTGACTAACAATATTTTTAAGACTTTAATAATGAAGAATTAATGTTAAACTCTAAATTAGAAAAGGTTATTTTATTCATTCTACCCATATGACAATGTTTCTTAGCAATATTTTTTGGAAAGAGATGGGTTATATAAAAATACAATTTTTATTTTTCATTCCTTAAAAAAACAACCTCAAATATACAGAGACTGATGTTTTCATATATTCCAGTTTTTTAAAAACTGGTCAGCAAATACAGGAAGAGCAAATACATTCCAGTTTTTTAAAAAAACTGGTTAGTAACGAAGAGATGTTATTCAGAAATGTAATGACAAGATGACCTGGGATCTGAGTTTTTTACCTTCATAAAGAGCTCCATTTTGTTCTTCTTCTACTGCTTTTAGGAAGAGTTCTCGAGCCTATAAAAACAGAGAAAAACAATATTTGAAAATCTGTATTAAAAATAAGTTTGGTATAAGGATGGCCTTTTCAACAATCATGCTGCAGCAGTTACACATCTACTGGCAAACAGTGAACTTCAACCTCAACTTCACAGCTTACAGAAAAAAGTAACTCAAAAATGGATCAACGACTCAAAAATAAAACTTTAAAAACTTTTAGAAAGAAAAAGAAGAAAAAAAAAAAAACCTGGGAGACTTGGGTGAGGAATTCTTATACTTGACACCAAAGCCACAATCCATAAAAGGAAAAGTTGATAAACTGAACCTCATCAAAATTAAAAACTTATGCTCTGTGAAGCTCTCCCTTAAGAAAATGAAAAGACGAGCTACAAAGTGAAAGAACTTACAAGCCACATATTCAACACAGGACTTGTATTTGGCATGCATAAAGAACTCTTAAAATCCAACAGTAAAAATATGAGCAAATCTGATTAGAAAAGACAAACATGTTTCACAGAGGGGCCTACAAAGATGGGAAACAGCACATGAAAAGTTTTGTAACATCATTAGCCATTAGGGAGACACAACGACCTATCAGAAAGGCTAATATTAAAAAGTAATGACACCACCAAGGGTGATGAGGATGCGGAGACAGTGAGTCACTCATACACTGCTGGAGGGAACGCAAAATGGTGCAGAAGCCCTGGAAAACAGTGCAGTTTCTTTCCACCAAATAGGCACTTACCACACAACTCAGCAATTGAACTTACTTAGGCCAGAGAGATGAAAGCTTATGTTCATGCATAAGCCTGCACATGAACACTCATAGTGGCTCCAGTAAGAGCAGCCCCAAACTGGAAACCCACGGGTCCCTCAACAGGTGAGTGGTCCCACAAAGTGGGGTATGTACACCCCATGCCACACGACTGAGCAGTAAAAAGGAGACAAACTACTGACACACACAACAGCTGGAATGGATCTCAAAGGAATTACACATTTTCTTGAGTATCAAAAGAATTACAGAAACAGAGGCCAGAGTAGAGGTTGCCAGTGGTTAGGAACGGCTGTGGAGGAGGTGGGGAAGACAGCGTGTAACTAAGGAGGTAGCGAAAGGGGGCCTGGCGGTGACAAAACAGTTCTGTATCTTGATTTTGGTGGTAGCTACACAAAGCTACATGGGTGATAAAGCTGCCGACAACTATTTATATACACTCCCACAGTCAAGTGCCTGGAAATCTGAATAAGCTCTGTGGATTGTACCAAGGTTCTATCTACTTCCAGTAAGTCTAGATGAGGAAGGCAACATCATCAAGGGAGGATGGGAGGCGTGCACAAGACTCTCCTGGGTCATGAACCTGTGAGTATGTCCAAACTAAACTGAAATAAAACAAATATGGACGTCTTTTGTTGTCACGGAATGTTGATTATTTAACGGCAAATTTTTGTAAATGAAAACTTGGGTCTAACGGTGTGAAGATGACAGCCCCTGTGTAGTAACAGGATACAGTCACCCCCACCCCCACACACACATCCCTGGGCTCAGCATTCTCAGGCTCAACCATCTGCAGATCAGAAATGTTTGAAAAGAATTCCAGAAAGTTCTGAAAAGCAAGACTTGAATTTGCTGTGCACTAGCAACTATTTATGTAGTGCTGACATTGTACTTGTAACTATTTACAGAGCATTTACATTGCACTGGGTATTATAAGTAAGCTAGAAAGGATTTAACCTGTACTGGAGGATGTACAAGCTTACACACAAACACTACACTGTATCATACTAGGAAGGTGAGCAACCACGGACACAGAGGGACCGAAGTGGTGAAATCTGAATCGGTGGGCTGGGTGTGCTGGGTGTGATCAAGTATTAGAAAGAGGTGAACCCCTAGAAAGCATCTGAAATTTTCCAGGAAAAGCAAGTGATCACTGCATCACTAAATTTATTCAACTCAAAATATAACCAAATAGTACATTAAGGTCTTTGGGAAGGTGTTAACATTTGAACAAATTTTTCCTCTTTTGGACTTCTATTAATAAATTCAAAGGAATCTATCTTTTAGAGACCAAATGAACTTCAGAGGTATATGCATTACTAGAGAGTCCCATCAAGACTGTGTACCTGTAACAAAGAAGGAGTAATATATCATCCAAAGACCTACAAGAAGTCCCGAGGGATGGAGACACTGGCACACTTGTCCACATCTTTCCATGTACAACGCCCATAACACTTAACTTTTCTTCTTTCGCCAGCTCCTGCTTTCCTCTGGTGTCCGCTGCTCTCTGCAAAGAGCCTCGCGCTGCTCTGCACGGTCGAGATTCTAAATTGCCTGAGCCCCCACCTGGGGCCAGTTCAAACATCCACTGAGCTCGGAACCTCTGGAGTTGTGCCTGGGAGGGGGAGAAGGATGCCTTAGGACCTGCCGAGGAAGAGGAGCTCAACTCTGGAACAATCTGTCAACAGTCCAACACCAATGCCCACACACATACATGTTCTTGGATGAGAAAACATGGTCTTAAAATTACTAAATTACTACCACTAAATACTTGTTATCTTCCAAGATAATTTTTGCTCAAGACTTTGAAGAAACAGTGAAAGTTTGCTAAAATAAGATTTTCTATACAGGAGAAATCTAATGGTATGGGGAAATCAAATTTTAACTGGAATTGAAAACATAAGCCATCACTTAGGGTCTAAACTTAGATGTTTTCAAGCTTTCTACTTGGAAAACATCATCTCAAAATTCTGTGGGTAAGCCTCAACTCTGTAATAACCATTCTTTTTAAGAAATTATTTTGTTCTAAATATGAGTCACTAAAAAAATTTTTAAATATAGAATAAGTAAAGCCTTCTGGTGTGGTGGGCTCTGGTGTGCTGCCTAGACACCCACCTCCACATCTGGAACTGTTGGCAGTGCTACCAAAAAACAGCCCTCAGCTGTCTGCACTGTGGTTAAGGCCTCAGCAAGACCACACCTTCTTCCCAGGTGGGCCCCACCCAATAACTAATCAATAAAAGTGATCAATGACTGATAAAATTCTTCTTGTGGCTGATTATCTCTTCAAATGTTTAATTAATGTTTAATATATTAATTATATATTAATTTTATATATATTATAAAATAATTATATATTAATTTTTCATTAGCTGTCCATTTTTATCTATCTTATGTTCTTACTAATTTTATAAGGATATTATATCTACATGAGAGATATCAACCCTCTCTCTCTACATGGTAAATAGTTTTTCCAGCTAATCATTTCTCTTGATTTAGAAGATCTTTTGTTATACATAGGTCTCAAAGTTTTAGACAGTCAAATCTGTCAATTTTTTTCTTTAAGGTGATGGGTGTTAACTCATGCTTATACCTTGAATACTTTAAATCCATATACTGATGACACAGTAGCCATTGATACTCCTTTTTACAGGAAAAGAAATCCATAACATAGTTATAATTGAAGCATTTCAAAAACCAGTATGAAAGTACAAGTTACAGTCAATGCAAATAAGGACCTAAGAATCTTCGTAATTATGACCAACTCCTGCTTATGTATGGAAACCGACAGAATAAGAACTGAAAGCACAAATGAAGAAACATACCTGCAAATCCGTCTCAGCAGGGCTTTCGTTTTCATCATCATCATCTCCTTCCCTGACAGCTTCGGAATGACAGTCTTCCTCAGCTTCTGCCTAAGAAGGGAAACAAAGCTGAAGAATATGCAGACACCAGTTTCCCTGGGTAACCTACACTGCCTACTGAGCTACCTGCCCGGTGAAACACATAGTTGTCTGTCTCTAGATAAATTCTTCACAGATGAGGTAAATGATTCCAGTTGGAAAGATCTGGTACTTTAACTTTTTAATACTGTAGAATAAACTATTTCACTGGTCTCCAGCTTAAAATGTTTGGTAGGTGGTTAAAAAGAACACTTTGTTTCAGATTTGTTTCAGAAAGTAACAGTTAGTGGCAGTACAGAATTCAACAAATAGCTTTTGTTTCCTGGGTCATTTAAAAGAGGATATATAGCCCTCCAATATTTTGATCATCTGAGGCAAAGAGCCAACTCATTGGAAAAGACAGATGCTGGGAAAGATTGAGGGCAGGAGGAGAAGAGGGCATGAGAGGATGAGACGGCTGGATGGCATCACTGATGCAATGGACATGAACTTGGGCAAACTCCAGGAGATGGTGAAGGACAGGGAGGCCTGGCATGCTGCAGTCCATGGGGTCGCGAAGAGTCAGACACTACTGGGTGACTGAACAACATATAGCCCATATATGATTGTCCTTTCTTTATATAAACGAGAATGTTATTGATGTGTGAATGACTTTGTTAATATCTTAGATGTACTAGAAAAACTCATTAAAATCAAAGACATGTTAACAGTGAAGGTTTTTGTAAAGAAGTCCCTTCCTTTTTAAAAAAATAAATCCAGGTTTTTATATACTGGATTGACTAAAGTGGAATAAAGGGCTGGAATTACTGTGCATGGCTTAGGACTTAATAGAGGCCCCAGGTCAGTATCCTTCCATTTTATCCTTTTAGTCTCCATAAACGTCTGCTAAATAAAACTGAATCCTACCTTCCACTGAAAATGAAATGCTGCCCAGGTGCAGTCTGTTACCTAACACACCTCTTAGCAAATAAGACTTGCTCAACACTTTAAGTGTTCAATCCTATAAAGAAATGCTGCAATCAGGGACGTGATCTAGAAGGTTAGTTAGAAATAAAAAGAATACCATATATTTAATGTTACTCATTCCAAACACAGTAAATTTTACAGTTGACCGTTTGCATTCTAATTTGCTCCTGGGACTAAGATGTTTGTATTAGCACCTATCTTTGAGCACAGCAATCAGATACACTTGCACTACTTCACAGCACAACACAAACAAGCCTGGCTTCCCATCTTATCTCTTGCAAGCAGACTTACGACAGAGGGGCCTGTAAGAGGCGAACTAGTTACTATATGCTAAAGTGCTTGGCACTCTGGGAAGGCTGAGTCAGTGAAGAAATAAATGAGAAAGGCCAGAGACTCAGATGAACTTCCAGAAAACTGGAAAATATAAGTATTGTCAAATACATTTTTTTAGTCTTTTAAGCTGAGAACTTTCTCTACTAAGAACATCACTAATGCAAATTACACAATAAGAGAGTTTGAATTTATAGATCTAACAAGTGTATTTCTCTCCCAAGTAAGGGTCTGCTTTATTACTGTACACTTTAAGGACAGCTAATGGAATGGGACCTTAGTCCCTGGTGTATCTCAGTAACTCAGCCTCCACCTCTGACCCAACAGTCCTCCCAAACTGACCTCAAGAGCTCCCCCTGCTCTCTCTCCCTCGCCCCCCACTCAATTTTTGCACATGCTACTTCTCTCAGCATCTGGAATGCCAGTGTCGCTCTTCCTCCCTCTTGGACACTGCTGCTCATCCTTCAAGACTCAGCTCAGGGACTGCCTTAGTAGGAAACATTTTCTGATCCTTTTACTTGCCCCTTTTGTTTTCCCATACACTTGTGCTAGTATCACAGCACTGAAGACTTTTGTTGAGATTTCACCTCTTTCACTAGAATTAGTGCATTGGCAACAAGATCTGGGGTCTGGCACTATGCCAGGCTGATAAGTGCTCAAAAAATTGGCTGAATTAACAAATAAAATGCCATGAAAATATATAATGCATAGCTCAAGGATGAGGTAAGGAGAGAGGAAACGGATAATACTGTCAGCATCTTTCTTCTTCCCCGAGTTGTGTTATAACAGAGCTCTAATCCACTGTGACTTTGATTTTGACAATATGACAAAAACAAATCAAATTTGGGGTTTTACTGCATTTTTCAACTCAAATACCACTTGCAATAAGTAGGTCTTCGGCTGTCATGCAGAGATTTTCAGTTTGTTTTACATAATTGAGTTTGACCTAACACCACTTTTCACCAGAGTAGCTCATGTGTTCATCATTTTACTGTTTCACAGATGGGATTAATACCCAAAGTTAAGTGCTTAATCCTGGTCAGAGAACTCTAAAAGTTTAGAAGCAGAGTTAATTAGTGTTTTTATACTCTCCAAATTGACTTCATAAACTCATTCAACCATTCATACATTCCTAAACAATTGGGTGTCTACTATAAACTAATGAGTTTGGTATCATTTCACTCTTAAAGATTCAACTTGGCCAGAGTTAAGTTTCTCGCGTCGACAATTTATTGGAAGCCAAAGCAAAGTAGCAGGGGGCAGAAACTACCCGTGCCAGCACGCAATAGCTCCATGGAACCTGCTTTGTCAACTTCTGGAGCTTTTCAGTCTCTCCACTTGGACCACTCATGGCCGTGAAATGCGACAGAATCCCTCAAACCGCCGGCCAAAACCCTGCCCTAGGCACCGCCGCGTCCAGGGGCAGGTGCGTCCTAAACTCAAAGACACCTTAAAAGGCCAAAACGGCGGCTCGCTGGGCAGGTTTTGTTTTTGGGTTTCTTGCGGGGAGAGGCGGCGATCAACAAGTGCCTTCACTTGCCAAAGCTCCCTCCCGATTTCAGATACTGCGACGGCTCACCTCAATCTACGCTCGCTGCTTTTAATAAGAGATTGGTTCAATGTCCTCAGCAGGCCGAAGAGAGGCATTTTTCTCGGCCGTCCAGCAATCCCTCTCTGCTAACCTGGAGCCCCCAGCTTGGGGGGTGGGGTGGAGGGGAAGGGTGCGGGGGTGCTCCTCAGGAAGTAACTCCGGGGATCCGGCAAGGCTGCCACCATCCTCTCCCTCAGGCCAGGACCTCAGGATGGTGGTAGCCTTGCAGACCCCACCCCTCGCAGGTTCCTCCTCCCCACTCCCCTCCGCAGGCCCGGGTCCTCCCGTCCGCCGCCCGCCCGAGCCCCTCGGCGCTTTACCATGCTGGCTGGCCGGCCGACCGCGGCCGAGGGGCTCTCGGCGCCCCCTCGGCACCGCCCCCGCGAGGAGGTGCGCTGCGAGTCCGGTGTCTACTCCTGCCGTCTGCTGCAGCTGGGCTTAGCAGAGTTCTCGGTCGGAGAAGCGCACCAGGCAGCGGCAGTAACTGCGGGCCCGGCGTACGGCAGCCATCTTCGCGGGGCAGAGGGCCAGATCGCGGCGCTCTGGGGCGGCGGCCGGGGACTCGCGGAGCGCAGGGACGCCGAGGGCCCGCCGAGGCCAAGGACTCTGCGCGAACGGGAGCGCCGGCCCTGCTGGAAACCCCGGACGCCGCAGCGGAGCTGCTCGTCTGCTGCGGAAACCTGCGCCGGCGCGGCGAGCATGCGCACTGCCGAGCCGCCGTTGCCCCGCTCCGCGGCCCCCTCGCTGCCCGGTGGAAGGAGAGGGACATTCGCTTGGTTTGCGCGCGAGGCACAGCCCGGGTTAGGACATCGGGTGTCCGAAAGCCAAACTCAACCTAGTGGTCGGCTCAGTGAACTTATGCAAACTTGAACAGGCGTTAACTCAAACTTAGAGTTAAGACCCTCCGGCAAGCGGTCCTAAGGCATCGAATTGGGTGCTCGGGGTGGTCGCTACACGGTTCTCGGCGACAGTGGCTAGAATCCGAACCCAGGACCGCAAACAGTGGAATTCCACTATCGTAAGGCCGTCATAATTACTAAGCTTCTCAAAAACACAGTTCTGGAGGTTGAGAAAAAGAGGCGCTCAGGGAAAAGCCCGAGAGAAAACTTAACCCCCATCCCCCGCAACGCACGTCGCACTGCAAACCCCACCATGCAACGCAAGGAGGACGTTGGGGCTCTACGGGCCCGATGGTTTGCGGCGACGGCTCCCGTGGCACAGTGGGATTTGTAGTAGCCATTCCACGTAGAGCGCCGGTACTCACACGCTGTCCTGACCCCGCCTCTTAAAGCCCAAACACCTGATTTTACTTCCGCGGAAGGCATTCGGGTTTGGCTGGCGGTATATTACTTTCCCACACGACTTTGTTTTAAATACTGACTTCGGCATGCTATGTGTAAACCTAGCCTTGGAGCTTCTTACCTTCTTTCAGCAAACATTTATGGAGTTTCTGAGATTTCTACTACGTGTGGGGTACTAATAGTCACCAGGTTTCCAAACCCTACTCGTGATTCCACAAATTCACAAGAGTTTAAATCTCTTATCCGTTATTTTATTCACAAGAGTTTAAATCTCTTATCCGTTATTCTGTTTATTTAGATCTTAGTAATGCAGTACATTTTTCTGCAGAAAAACAGAGGCAGAAAAAAAGAAAGGGAGGGGTGCAGAATGGTGAGCTACATTATGGAAGCTCCAACTACTATCTTTTAATATTAGGATCCATCGTTCTGGTGGGTATGTTTTCATTTGCCTCCTAAGTCAGCTACCTGTAAAAAGTATATTCTTATATATATATACTTTTATATATAAAAGGAGACTAAAAGTTTACCAGTTTTTAGTTTTTAAAGGAGACTCTAGGGCTTAGGTCTTTTAATGATGATTTTCCTCCCAATGACGTCTTGTAAATCATATTTTGAAATTAAAACGGGAGAAAGACTAGATGTAGTCTAGAAGTAGAAGGAAATGCTATATGTGATTCATGAATACAGAAGATCGGTTTTGCAAATGAGGAATGAAAATTGAAATATTTTCAGAACTAGTCTATTTCATTAAACTGGTTGAATGCTCATAACAGATTATATCTATTATTCTATTCTAGTAAACAATAAAGTTTAATAAAACAATAATTAGTATTTGTAACAATAAATTGAGCATCTACTTTATTAAAATGCTGTTATGTTATCTAAATTTTTCAATTTTAGGTAAGTATTCACTCTATCCACTGGACCTTTTTACAGGGTTGTATTATTTCATCATATTATGTAATAGATGGTTATAATTTATCCTAGGCTAGGACTACTGACCTAAGCCCCTTACTAGCCCAGTGGACCCTTGTTAAAGGTAGATCAGGACAGTCCATTTGCCTATTGCTTGATCAACTGAGTTTGACTAAAACTGATCATTTTAAATACTTCAAAAATCACTTTTCATAGAGGTGGTTATATGATTTGTTAGGCTGCCTCCTGTCTCCATATCTTTTCGTTGATAATGACTTTCAATTCTCATTTGCCATATGGTTTGGGTGTTATGTAGGTAAACGTGAATGTAGATAAATGTTATACAATTGCCAAGTGGACAGATGACCCTTTCCCATTTGGGACAGGAAGTCTAAGGAAGCTTAGCAGTCTTGTATCTTGTTTCTTAAACAGAAGCAAGAGAAAAGAGGGATTCAGGCCTTTTGCGTAGATTCTTTTTGGAAATAATTTTTTCAGTTCTCAGAATTAAAAAACAAAGACAGTGAGAGAAAACTGATATGAGCTGGGAGATCTAAACTCAGAGAAAGGATTACTGCTTTATTAATTTAAATTGTGTTGCTTAGGGCAATGTGTTTCTCCTGACCAGTAGTATCAGCACCAGAATTCTGGGGAGAGGGCCCAGCAATCTGTTTTCACAAGCTCTTGGGGGTGATTCTGATGTCTCCAGCTAAAGTGTGAGAACCCTTAGCTTGGGGGCAATTATGTGAATTTAAATTGAGGACCTCGAAGCAATTTCTTTTCTCAAAGTGGTTCAGAGCCAGTCCTCACAGGGATGATTTACCTTGGCAATATAACTAACAACACAAGGGACCGCGTTTAAGTGTTAAATTTCAAATAACTAGTTACACCCTGAGACCAATCTGTAGTTACCTAGTGTATTCTCCACCTGAGTAACAATCCAGTTTTCCAAACTAAAGTTGCTCAAAACATAAAAACTCTTGAAGTTCCAATGGATGCTAACACGCAGTCTGGTTTTTATTTTAAATATTTTTTATTACGATAAAATAAATATGATGCGATTTGCCATGTTTAACCACCTTTCGGTGGCATTACAGATGTTTTTTAAAGCCAGGAATGAGTGTCCACCAAGATCACCTGTAGTGGATGTCTTCCGAACGTGCATCCTCGGCCTGCATCTCTCCATCCTGATGCCCTAGGCGGCCGCGTGGAGCTGGAGGGCTCCTCGGCGGTAGGCGGGACGCAGGGCCCCTGGGCTGCCGCGGGCCGGCGTGGAGCGGAGCGCGCGACTGGGCGCCCCAAGCGGTCCGGCCGCGGTGCAAGGACGCGCGGGGCCAGCGAGGGGAGCTGCAGGGTAACTTTTCCCAGGGAAAGCGGCAGGTCGTCCCCACCACAAGCCTCTCAGCCTTTTGTTTGTTTTCCTGCCGGAGGCTGGAGAGCGGCCGGGTCCCCGCTGCTCACCATGCGCCGGGCGGCCCGCGCCCCTCGCCGGCGCCCCCGGGCGTCCCAGCGCGGACCCCTCGGCCCGTCCTAGCGGGGGTCGCCCTGCTCCGGCTCCAGCTCCCGGGCCGGCCCCGCGCCCGCCCTCCGAGGAACCGCGCTCCCCGCAGGGGCGGGCCCTCGCCTGTGTCGCGGCGCCGGTAAGTGGGGTCGGGGATGAGGGGCTTCCGCCGGGTGATCTGTCACTGGGGGTGATGGAGCAGAGCTGCGAGGGGCCCCCCGCCCCCTGCGGTGGCCCCGCGAGGGAATGGAGGGCGAGAGGGAGGCTCTCGGGTTGTAGTCTCTCCGCGGTCCTGTGGGTCTCTCCTTGGCAGAAAAACTCCCATTTCCTCCGAGTCGGGAAGATTTTGCTGGGTGTTTACCTTTTAGCGTTAAAGCGGGGGGAAAGATCCCGGCCGGATTTGAAGCCCCTTTCGTAGAAGGTGTAGGGACTTGCTTTGGGAATTACCCGACTAGGCCTTTGGCTGTCCCGCAAAGGGTCTGAGCAAATCTTCACACGTTTCTGTGCAACCATTTTTTACTGGGTTTCTTTCTGCTCTGCTTTCTTTCTTACTAATCTGAGTAGATGTTATGAGAGAGATGTTGGGATTTTTCAGAACCGCCGTTTCTTTTGTAATGCACCTTTTAAAGTTTGACAGTAGCATTGAGGGCTTTTAGTTTTAAATATAAAAGTAGGTGAATGCCTATTTTTCGGAAAAGAGTATTCGTTTCCACTTATAACTAAATAAAGAACTGCTCTTGCTGAAGCTGGATTATAGAGAGAAAATATCACCCTGAATTTTGCATCCAGGGCTAGATTTCTCTAAGGTATTGGCACTTGTGTTTTTTATTTTAGCCTGGAGCACTTTTTGTACAGTTTGATAGCTATAGTTTTCATTTCTCACATTTTCCAGTGAGTGGGTTTTCAGGATGTGCCTCCAAAGTGAATTGTACTATTGCCGAATATAAAATTAAACCGAGTTTTAAATTTGTGTAGTTAACATATAAATTATTAAGAATTTGTGCCTCAACCATATGTTAGCTGTGCTAGAAGTTAATGTATTCATAAATATGCACATTTGAAATAGTTTCCGAACAAAGCACTGCAATTTGGTAAAGAATTTGGCCTTCCTATCTGTTTGAGAACAAGTAATTGTGGGTGTAGAAATAAGAGCCTTGTTGGGACTCTTTATTTAAAATAATATACCACTGCTTGCCCTAAGGTCCAGCCCTCACTGTAGTGACCCTGCCTGTCCATTTTGCCTTGTCCCCTTCTCCAAAATTAAAACTAGTGGCAGGGCAGGAATGGGCAGCCACATTTCTAAGTGAGACCAGTTTAGTTTCAGATGATGGAAGGATGTGTTGGAGGGTTGATGGAGCCTGTCTGAGTGGGCAGAGGTCTGTCCTAGCCAAGGGAACTCAACATTTAGTCACAGAGAAATGGTTTTTCTCTCTGAGACTTCTTATATAGATTGTGTGTAAAGAAGCTAAAAGAACCAGCCTTTGGGGGTTTTATTTGTTGACTGTTTCACATCATCAAAGCTCTTTTTTCTATTTTTATTGTTTTCTTCTCATTGCTTTTGAGGTTCCTAGTAATGGTGGAAATTCTGTCAGTCTTGAACCTTTGGAAT